CATTGTAATAAAATATTAAATTAGAGCGTAATACATAATTAAAATTTCTCTCTCCGACAGTAGAAAGAACTAATTTTTAATTTAATTTGTAATATAAACATGTTTTTAGGTACATAGTTAATTTTTTTTTAATCAAAACAATGTAATTTTGATTTAGAGTGAACCTCAAAATAAGTCATCAACCTTTAATATATTTCTACTCTAGGTCATCAATTAAATTTATTTGTAACACAGGTTACCTTACTAAAATTTAATCCATTTCAGATTATTCTGTTAATTTTAGCCGTTAAATAGTGACGGAAATCCACTTTTCACATGTTTTTGGGTTCAGGGGTATTTTTTTCTTTTTTTTTCTTTTTTTTTAATCTTTTAAACTTTTTTTTCTTTTTTTTTTAAATTCTTCTTCTTATACTTGCTAACTTGTATATACTGGTAGTATAATTCTAAATTTTAAAAATTTATTTTCTAGATTATAAAATTTTTTTTTAAAAAATTCAGAAATGAAGAAGAAAAATTTGAGTTAAAGTAAACATGAAAATAAATAATTTACCATTTAAAAAAATTAAAATAATTAGTTAAGACACGTTGTTTCTTCTAGGTTATTTAATTTTTTTTTAACTCGATTGAATTATTTAATTATTAATTTTCACGTTTCTTATTCCTTCTTTTTTTAATAAAAATGGTAAATTATTTATTTCCATGTTTACTTTAACTCGAATTTTTCTTCTTCATTTCTGAATTTTTTTTAAAAAAATTTTATCATCTAGAAGTTAAAATACAAAAAGAAAATAAATTTTTAAAATTTAGAATTATACTACCAGTATATACAAGTTAGGAAGTATAAGAAGAAGAATTGTAAAAAAAAAATAAAATTAAAAGATTAAAAAATAAAAATAAGAAAATAAAAAAAAAATCCCTGAACCCAAAAACATGTGAAAAATATATATCCGTCACTATTTAACGCCCAAAATTAACAGAATAATCTGAAATGGATGAAAACTTTAGGAAGGTAACCAGTTTTACAAATAAATTTAATTGATGACCTAGAATGGAAATATATTAAATGTTGATAGCTTGTTTTGATGTTCACTCTTTGATCTAATGTATTTTGGAAGGATAAATTTTATCACAATGCGACACCTCATTATTTTTTTTTCTCTTGGACATCCCTTTTAATAAGATATGTATTGATTGATTTTGTTGGTCTCATCAAATAGTTGCAATACCAACTTATTGTTGATTAAGAGATTTTAATGTTTTATTTTTTTATTAGGTACTATCATTGGGATTAATGCGCATTAATGCCATGATTCCGATTGTTTAGTAGTACATTTTATTTGGTCAAAGAAGTTATTTCATTCGGAAAGATGGGCTGGAATGACTTTGTATTTATTTTTTATATCAAAATGGAAAGTTTCATTATCAATTAGGTGCGAGGCAAATTAATTGTGCGAAACTTGGATTCCATTTGTTGAAGTTTTTTAGTGTTTTTTTAGTAAAATGACGTGGTTTTTGTTGGACGGGAAACGGAGGCATGAAAATGCAACACATAAGTTTTTTTTTTTTTCTCTTGAACATTTGTTTTCATAGGATATATAGATATAGATTCATCTATTTACTTTTTAGCGTCTTGAATCATGTAACAAAGTTTTCTACGTACAGTTATGATCTTACTAATATGTATCATATTTTTATGACACTTATTATTTCTCACTTTGACAGTAATGTGTTAATACGAACAATTTACTTATTTATTTTTTTCATACTCTGTACCACGCCCTGAAGTTTTCTATAACATCCAAAACCTTATCATTTAGTTTGGTATAGTAAAAGAATCATCTCTTGAAATATAAAGGTAAGAGCTTAGATTTTTGTCTTTTAACACATCATTTTACCATTAAAGTTAAGTTAAATTTTTCTAAGCCATTATCAATTCATTCTAACCAAATCAAATTGTCTAGTTTTCTTCTTTCCTTCTTGTACAAACAATCAAATTGAGTTGGTGATTTCTCTTATTGGTTCAGTTGGCATAAACTTTTTTTTTTTTGTTTTCTAATGTATTTTCTATAGTCTCGATTCTTTTTTGTTTTTTTACTTTTTTATTTTTGCCAAAGTCATAGAGAGCCTTATTGGGATGGTACTTTTTTTTTTTTTTTTGGACTAATTTGGTCATTCTGTATCAACCAAAACATTCAAAAAGCAATGACTCAATGCCTGTATGGATATTAAATAAATTAATGAAGACTGAATGTTCTTGAATTGTTGAGTGAAAAATCCCCATCTTTATGTGCATGTTGAAGTCTTTTTGTTTTCTTTTTAAATTAAATGTTTAGATATAATCAAAATTATTGTAAACATGATTCTGCATTGCTCATTGCGAGACGAAACAATACTAGCATTAAAATGTATAATTGTTTCTCAAAATAATGTAAGAGAGGCGCATATATTATAAGATTGAATAATTAGAGAATAATCACTGTAAATATAAAACTCCTTATTTTTAGAGTGTCTGTTAGGAATATTTTTTATTATCGTTGTGATTATTTAAATTTGAAAAAAATTAAATGAAAATTAATTCGTGTTATTTGTATATGACTTTATGTGCTAACTTTTCATCAGGATTCTTGGTTACATATTTTCTAAAAAATAAGTCTAAATGCAAAGTTAATGTTTTGTTTCAAGCATAAAATAAGACAAATTTATTATTTACTAGGCTGAAAGAAGTAGTTACAAGCATGGCAGTCACATACGGGTCCGTTGGGCTGACCAGATAGTAATTTAAATATATGTAGTTGCTAATGTGGCATATTTAGTATAATTTAAACTATGAAATAGGAGTAATACTTAGGCGGAAAAACACTTAAAGAAATATGAATATGTATAGTTCATGCTCTCTTTGACACTTATTTTAATAGTAATACTTGTGTCCCAAAAAAAGTAGGGAAATAGACAAAAATCTCTTGAGTATGTATCAAGGACTAATATCATCTCGATATTTCCTTTAAGCGTAATTATCCCTCTTGACTGTGGGTAAACGGCAAAAGTGACCCTTATAACGGCATAATTGACAAAAAAATATGCTAGTAAAGACAAAAAAATGGGAATATTGGCGGATACATCCCAATGTCTACTTTCTACAAACCAGTCCATCCCAAACTTTTAAAATTGAGTAATTATATTCCAAAGTTTTTAAAATTGAGCGCAACCATCCTATGACCTGCAAAATTGACCTCGTACACATTTTATGCACATTTTCATCTAAAAATAATTTTTATGCACATTTTATGTGTTTCTTAATGACTTTTTTTCTTAACAAATTATTGAACAATTTATTTAGAGATAACGATATTTACTGATTTTTGTTAAAAATATTTTTAAAAAATAATTAATTTCAGTAAAAAATAATTTTAGGGTTGAATTTTGTTTTTAGAAAAGGATATAATTTATTTAGAAAAGGATAGCATAATTTTAACATTATTTATGTTTTTTGAATTTGTCCAGCTGTTGTTGAAATCAAAATATGAATATCGTTAAAATTCTATCTTTTTTTTTAAAAAAAAGAAAGCAACCATAAATAAGCGGATTTTACTTAAATTATTTTCTTTAAAAAATAGTTTCCAAAGAAAAATTGATAAATATCTTATCCCTGAATATATTATTCGGCGATTTGTTACACAAAATAGGTATTTGAGAAAAAAAAGGTAGAATTGGTGCACAAAAAATTGTTTTCAACTAAAAGCGTATTTTTCTTTTTTATGCACACATTTTTTATCAATTCTGCCGTAGGTCACTTTTGAATTTGACAGATGGACATAGGATAATTGTCCTTATATGAAATGTCAAGGTGATATTAGTCATTAGTTTTTTGTGCTTAACTCGGGAGGGGGTTGTCTTTTCTCTAAACATAATCCATATAGAATTTTGAGATTTGTACTAAAAATAGTAACAATTACAAAATTCAAATTTTTTGAGATAGAAGACATAATATAAATTTTGATATTTATTAACTACCTGATGGTAGAGTAAAATAATTACTTCAGATAAAATTACCCGTTGCACGAATTGCCATGGGTCAACATGTCCAATTTTATATGGCTAAACTGCTAAACCATTCGAACAGTCAAAGATCTTAGCAAAGGCGTTCCTATGTATAGATAAGTTTGATTTTCTCAAAGAACTCCAGTTTGTGAAGAAGGCAGGGAAAGATCACAAAATTTCTATTATCTCTAATTAATATACAAGTCAAATGGGTCCATTTTGGTGGTGGAATATAGACAATAGAGAAATGATCTAAATCTTAAACTTCATTTTCATAAAGTAAGACCTTGATTAAGTTGTTTTGAGGATGCTAATTTGGCTCCAAATGAGAATTTAGATGTAAGTTGCGTGAAATTTTTTTCGCGCGGTTGGAGATTTTATAGTGTGCAATAACATTCAAAAATATGCATTTTTCAATTAAAGTGATTGTGATTTGAACATCAGTTACTTTTTTTTTTTTAAATAAAAAATTAGCATTTCCGTTCCATTTAATTTATCTTCCTTGAATATTAATGAATTTAAGTGTCTTCTAAATGAATGCATGAGAAATCCTGTCATTAAAGCAACACAAATCTAACCATGTATCGAGAACCTTAATTTGTAATTTGTGATTTCCCTTTAAAAATATTTTTATATATTTTTAATTATATATTTGTAAAAATTATACAAGCAGTATATGATTTTTACTAGTCTCATTTTCTGATAAAATATTGGAACAGTGAACTCACAATTGGTCAACATACTGTCGGAAAGGAGCAAAATTACCGTACGGAACCCAAAACTCTCAAACGGTACGACGTGCACAATCTTACACGATCACAACCGTTCATCAACCCATCACACTAATCCAATCACAGCCCAGGACAAATCTGACGGTCACAGTTGACTTTTGAAAATCTCACGAGCTGTACACCATCTCTATATTCCTCTGTGGAAAATGAAAATCTGAAAACTTTCGAATTAGGCGCTTTCCTTTTCGTAAACCGCTGCTTAAAATATTTTCCCCGAAAGAAAAGAAAAAGAAAAAAGAAATTCCAAAAGCATATCGAAAACACCAGCTTCTCGTTTGAATCACTCAGAAGAGGAGCACAGATCAAAATTCTCACGCACCACACCGCAAAACACGCACTCTTTCCCTCGCTTTCTCTTTCTCCTCATTTTGTTGCTTATATCCAATTACTGGCGCAAGCGTTTATTGATAATAACACTGTTGTTTCTTTGTTCTTGAAGCTCGATCTCATTCGTGAGGTCACGAGTCGTGGCTGCAAGATGCTTAATTGGAGACAAAGTTTGGATCTTTGGATTTGAATTTTGTCGAGGGCTCATCAGAAGGAAGTGTTTCTTTGAAACCCTAGCTTACTGAATTGTTCGTATTTCAGTGTAGAAGTTAACAATTTGGGGGTTGGTTTAGTTCTTTGAAGTCTAGGGTTTTTTTTTTTTTTTTTCGGTGGGTTAATATGGGGTTCGAGTTGCTCTTTGATGTTATTTTAGGTATGGGTGGTCCGGATTGAAGTTCTTGAAGTCAGGGCTTTTTAAATTATAGGTTAGGGTTCTGTTGGTAATTATTGGGGGTTTGAACTTGGAGAGATAATTTGTAGTTGTTATGTTAGTTTGTGCGTGTATAGGAGTTGGCTGGAGAAATATTTGAAGCTGTTGTAGTGTTTATTCTATTTAAAGTTGAGCTCTTTGGTTGTTTGTTATAAGAGGAAAAGGATAGGCGGGAAAAGATGTTCTATTCGCAGTTTATATTGGCTAAAAAGGGGCCTTTAGGAACCATATGGATTGCAGCACATTTGGAGCGGAAGCTTCGGAAAAATCAGGTGGCTGACACTGATATTGGTGTCTCTGTAGGTATGTTCTCTTTTGTCACCGTTGCACTCTATTTGCCTTAGGTTTGTACTGATATTGGTGACACCGATACGGCTCTTTTATTTATTGTTGCTCTTGCAAAAATTAGACAAGACACGAGAATTGCATGATAGTATGAATCACCAGGAATCGGGAATAGTAACTATAGCTGGGAAATGATATATGCTATTTGGAACTTGAAACATTACTTTTTTGCGAGTGAGGGCAGGCTTTGATAAGATACTTGTGCTTTTGGGCTCTATGCTTTTGCTGATTCTTGATAATTGAGGTCTGAAATGGGAATAATTACTTTTTTAAGGCATGAAACCTGTCTCTGCTCTTATTTCACCTACACAATGTACACATCAATCCCCCACTGACGTATTTATATACGAGTGAACTTTTTCCACTTAGCAAAACGACAAAATGGATGCTGCTTTATCTTTTCCTTTTTGTTCTTTGATAGTTTTGCTCAATTTTTAATTTCACAACAGCTGTATGTCTCATCAGAATTGGATAAGCTATTTTGATTCAAAGAAACTCAACAAATTGAATTGTACTCTCTGAAATGTTGAACAATTGCTGGAGCCATCTTACTGTGTATAATGCTGTGGTTTTTTCTTCTTCGATATTCTCTATACCCAGAACATGAAATAAAAAGGAGCACAATGGGAAGAAAGCCATTTTCTTTCATTTACTTTGAAATTGTTCCTTTGCTTTAGTTTAAACTGTTTCATTTGTAGTCACCCTGTTATGATTTATTTAATGCTGTCTTTGGACCATATTTAGATTGACAGCTGCTATTTAATTTTTTAGAGAATGCCACTCTTAGACGAGTTTAATAATGACAGGAAATCTGTGATTGCCGTATCTGCTTGCGTCAATGTTACGTCTTGATTCTATACGCATGTTATATGTGGAACTCCGATCACTTATGCATGATAAATATTGTTGATGGAACTTTCGTCCTACAAGTTAGGCTTCTAACTAACTTTAGATTAGTACATTACCTTGTGTGATAAATAGTTGGAAACTGGGTATTTAATGTACTACCTTCTGGCATGTTGTTCCTTTTCTATATAGTAATAATACATTATCGCAGTATTGATAGGGGTATATTAATATTTTCAAGGTCCAACTTTCAAAAATAATTCCCATAATTCCTGCTCTTGTGCTCGTTACATTTATTTTTTTGTTTATAATATCTTAACTGATAGAGAATCAGAAAGATTGTTGGCCAAATTGGATATAAGTTGTCACGCACTGATGTGAATTGTTCTCATTTGGTAAAGTTAATACTAGAAGTTAGAATTTAGTGAAGTAATACATAGCGACTTCAGAATTGTTGGGTAATTGCAATTGTTTTGTGGATTCGTTCCTGCAAGATGTCTCTAGAACTTTAAAAAAAGGTTGGGAAGATAGTCATACCGTGTCCGTAAAACGGGCATTCTATGATGTCAAAATGGCTTGATTTTGATCTGCAAGTAGCGTCGATGGCACTGCTCTTGAATTTCTCTAATTTCTGTTGGACATGGCCCCTTAGCACTAAATAGGTTGTACATTCTTTGGAATGAAGGTTAAATGCTTTATTTTTCACATATCTATGCTTTCCTTAGTGGTTGGTTCCATAAGAGGCTTATTTTAAGTCTGCAGCACTGGTTAATCTTTAAGTTGGAGAAATTTATACAATTAGTTGAGTACAACAATGTACACTATTATAGTTTCCGTACATATCAGAATGCATTTTATGGTCTATCCTGGAGTCTTTGTTTACGATGTTCCAGCTACAAAGAACCGTAAATGCTGGCTTACATTTACTCAGGCCTGAGAATAAAGTTAAATCATGGGAACTAGGTACTGAATCGAATTGAAAATGTATGCGAGAAACACCCTAACTCAAGGGATTCAAAAGACTTAGTCTTTGAAAGCTTAGATCTAAACTTTTTTTTAATCAAAATGTAAATAATAAAGCTGCAGAACTTCTCTATTCATGGAAGTGCTAGGTTTAAAAGCTAATTGTACCACTAGTTAACTAAACATAATAAAAACTGATGTTGAAACTTGTAACAAATAGGATTCTAAAAGAAACTAACAACTTATAGCTTTTCTAACACCAATATGGTTTTATGATAATGTTCCTGTATCATCAAATTTTTTATCTGTGATTGTTGTTGTTAGTTAATGAAGGTCTAGGAAAACTATTGGCTGGACCACTGGAGTATTATTGTCCTGAATGCCATTGCTAGTCTGGAGTTCATGCTGGCAAAGATAGCTTTACAAGTCCATAAAAATACATGCCGCTTGATGTATATGCATGACTTATTTTCTTTAAGGTCTCCCTTTTGTGGTTTCTTAATAATTTCCTCTCCTTGAGCCAGTCCCTTACTTGGGCCTTGATATTGCACTTAACCTGATTTGATAAAATGAGTTTCATGAGCTATTTAACTTGATATACTCAGTACATATTCCACCTGTTTTTGCCTATAATAATCAGCTTTTTCGCAGATTATTGTTTCTTTTAGTGGGCATAGTTAAGGAAAGAAAAGAATCACATCTTTTTATTGCAAAGTGTTTGTGGTTGGTGTATTACGAAGAGACGTTGACCGCTGGTTGATGTGTGAAATTATTTACATGCTATTTTTTTAAAAAATTTTTTTAACGTGCTTTTTGTTTATGAACATTTGGAGGTTATTCAAGAATAAGCTTGTGTTTTCACTTTGTGGAGATTATCAATTTGAATATCATTTGGTGAATTAGTTGACTGTCGTTAAATTGACTTTTAAATTGTGTAGTAGAGTTCTCTTTCATTGGTATTGAACTCTTGTTTCTCATCGACAGATTCCATACTTTTTCCTGATGTTCCGATTGCTCTGCGGTTGTCCAGCCATCTTTTGCTTGGTGTGGTAAGGATATACTCTAGAAAGGTCAATTACCTCTTCGATGATTGCAGCGAGGCATTGCTCAAAGTCAAGCAAGCTTTTCGCTCCACGGCTGTGGATTTACCTCCCGAAGAATCGAAGGCACCATATCATTCCATTACGTTGCCGGAGACATTTGACCTTGATGATTTTGAACTGCCAGATAATGAGATTTTTCAAGGGTGTGTTTTTTTCATAATCTCTAATGGTTATGCCACGTTTAATTATGCTGCAAAACAAGGGTTTCTACTTCTCCATCTGGAAACGGGGTTTTCTACTAATGTTCTTGAATTGTTTTGACTATGTATCTTCTGAGGTCATTTATTAGATGTTAACTTGTGGATCTTAGGGCTCCTTTGGTATTCCTTGTCTTGCTATAACTTGTATTCTTTAATGTGGGATCAAACAACTAGAAAAAGATTGGTGTTTGTCGACTGTAGATGGGCAAGTGCATATGTTAAGAGTTCATTCTATTTTTACATGCTTTTCACTGTGTTTTTCTGGTTATAACTTTTCTTCTGAATTAGTGATTCTCCTTGCAAATTTGAAACTTTCTATCATTTTTGAGTTACTGTTTTAAAATGCTTTCCTCTGTGCATTTGTTGATTATAACTTGGCTTGTAAGTTGGTGATTCTTGTGGTCTGAAATAATCTATCAGTCTGACCTTGACATTTCTTGTTTAATGCACATAATGCAGAAACTTTGTTGATCATCATATCAGTTCGAGGGAACAGATTACCCTTCAGGATAACATGGAGGGTGTGGTTTATTCAACCTCACAATTTGGTTTGGATGGTTAGTGTCTCTTGTTACAATTTCCATAATATGTTGCTTACTTGGCATGCTTGATTTTTTCCCCCCTGTGGAATACAATTTATGTGACAGTGAATTCTTTTCTTCTGTCTTTTGGTATTTCCAGAGAGATTTGGTGATGGTGATACTTCAGGCCTAGACCTTGATGAGGTTGGTCTATGTAAACAGCATTCAAGTTCTGTTATTTCCTTTGCTTCCTCAGGAATTCAATTGTTGGACAATGTAAATAGTTAAATAAACATATTTGTAGACATTGGAATAAACCGAGATGAATTAAATTACTGCACTGGTTTGGGGATAGAGTTGCTTGCAAACATTTTCTTGATGGAACTCTGGAGAGGCATATTGGTGTTTTAAAAGTTTGAATCTACTGGGGTTGGAAAGGACTCAGGTTTTATGAAGAATTAAAAGTGGTTGCACTAGTCTTTTTAAGTTATCAATGGTATGCACCAGTGCTCTTATTCCTAACTAGTTCTTTAAATGGTTGCAGGAATTGTTGATGGGAAAGATCGATGGGGCTGGGTTCCCTGGCGTGAGGTTGATTTCTGATGCCCTTGTTCTTTTTGTGTTAACATCCGAATCTGAGTCCTTTTTTCTATCAGGCTTGTTGAATGCTCTCTGGGATAGGTTTACTTACATTATAAAATGCTTCCCTCAGGCATAGATGGCACCACTGTCCCACTCTTCACTCAAACAGCATTTCGAAGTACTGTTAATAATATATTCCAAGTAATTAATTACTGTTGAAAATTCAAAAAGACAATTTTGCAATTACTGTTGGTTACTGTTACTGTTTATAATCATATGATGCGTTTATGTTTTGTTTCAATGTCAAAAACCATAAAGTGGAATCTGAATTTATGTTCGAAATGTAACATGTTAGATAATGTCATTTTCTGTTCTGCTTCTCCAGCTTCAGCCTTCAGGCACTAGTGTGAACTTCTCTTTCTTCAGTTCTGTGGTTTATATGTCCTAGCTTTTAAATTATACATTCTCATTTCAGTATCTACTTTTCCATTTCAGTGCTGATCCTCAGACATCATTTAACTCAATGACACAAGTGAAGGTAGATGAACATGATGAAGGGCTGCATGCGAGTGCTGACAGTCAGGTGCTTATTGCATGCAAAAACTATAATACCTGTCTGCTTGTTATTTTTTTCTTACATGTTTTGCTGCTTCCAATTAATTATTTATTTTTTTAACAAAATCTATTTGTTGCTGGGGGTAATAAAATCTATTTAATAAACTCTTACCTGTTTTACAGTGCTGATTTCTTTCACTGTTACGATCCATTTGTATCCTTTAGATTGCTAGTTTAATATCATCTCTGATGAAAACTTGATTATTTCCTGCATTTATTTTTTTGGCCTTCATTATAAATTTGATTTGATGTTCGTAGATGGAAAATGTTGTTGAAGATATTGGTCGCATGGACTATGCTCAGGCGCCCTCTACTCCTGGATTGGTTGAAGAGCCCAACCTGTCAAATATCCAAGAGACTTCTTGCTGTGATGATCATAATGACTTCGAAGATAACCATATGACTGATGTTGCCGCAAAGGATTCAGAAAATGCTTCCATCGGACTGATTCCACATCATGAGCATGAACATGTTGAGGATCCGGCTACACCTAAGGAGATCAAATCTGATGGTGCTCATTGCAATGCGCATCACACTAGTGAGTTGGAGATTGAGAAGGGTTTCTCTCCTCCAACTGAGGATGCTGATAAGCTCATATTAACAGAAGGAACTGTTGCAGCTTCAGCTTCTGGAAATTTAGTCGGGGAAATTCCAGCTGATCATGATGAACCAATATTGGCCGACAAGGTCAATGCAGCATCTGATAGCCATGAAGATGGTGAACTCAACAAAACAGTCTCTGCTTCTGGATTGGCTAAATCCAATGATTTGTTAAGTGCAGGGGATTCTGAACGACCATCCTCCCCCAGGGATGCACCAAATATGGACTTCCAGGCTCCTATTCTTAGGCCATGTAATGGAGACCTTGGTAAGGGTGACCCTTCACACACTGGAGCTGGAAATTCAGTGGATGTTGAAACGTGTGATAAAGGTACAAGATTTAACACCTATGAAAGGGTGTATGTTTCCCGGTCCATGATGGTCCAAATTGTCATATCTAGTGGATGGATTGTCATTATTAGTGAACTGAATTTCTTCTTCCCGCATCTTTCTAACATTGTGTCTTTTTTCAGGTGAAATATGTAATTCAGTTGGTGATTCAGAACTAAAACAAAAGGAAAACATTTTTGCTGAACCGTCATCTCTAGATGTCTGTGCGGAGTCTGTTAAATCAGATACCCTTGGAAATGATACGGTGCAAGGAGATACAGCAGGTACTGAATGTCCTGCTCCTGAGAAAATGCTTTCTTTACCTGAAGGGTTCAGTGACCAACCGAGTAACTTGCTCATGGAGTCGACACCCTTGGATATGGCACATGTTGACGAGAGTGATGCCGGAAGCAGGATTGTGTCTGGTAAAAAGCGAAGTTATACTGAAAGTACCTTGACAGAACAAAGTTTGAATTCAGTTGAGTCTTCAAGGGCAGTTCGTATGAGAAAGACTGCGGAGGCTATTCCCGATGATGATGATTTACTGTCTTCCATTTTAGGTATATTTTGAATCTTCTGACTGCTACATGGTTTAAACAATAATTGTATCCAATGATTAATTACTTCTCATGGTGGATTTATCCTATATTTTGTTTCCGATGCAAATGTTCAAAAATGTGAAAATTGTTAATTGCTTCAGTTGGAAGGAGGTCTTCTGCCCTGAAAGTGAAGCCCACTCCCAGACCTGGTGAGATAACTTCTCTGAAGCGTCACCGAACAGCTCCACGAACTTATACTTCTAAAAGGAAGGTGCTCATGGATGATACAATGGTTTTGCACGGCGAGTATGTCCTTTTCGTATTTGCAATAAAGTTTTTTAGGCATACTTTGAGAAATGATCATCAAACAATAATATCATAATAGGATGTGAAATTTGCTGTTGATGTGTTTTTTTCGTGATTTTAATTTGAGTGCTGGTCTTAAGTTGAAATGACTCATTCCTTGTGGGCTGTAACATTTTTTTTTTTTTTTTTTTTTTTATATTATTGATTTGATTGATATCCTTAAATATCCTGTGGTGTCCTACTAGCTGACATAATGTGTGCTGTTCCTTTTGAAGTACAATTCGTCAACAGTTGATGAGCACTGAAGATATACGGCGCTTGAGAAAGAAAGCTCCCTGTACACGGCCTGAAATTGCCATGATTCAGAGACAATTCCTGGAAGATCAAATGTTTAGAGAACCAATTCTTTCAGGTGAGAAAGTTGCCCCAGTTTCAAGTATAGTTGGTAGGGAATATCTAGCATTGAAGTTTTTTTCCCGTTTATTTTTGTTAGAATTTATTATGGGTCCTTGAATTTACAAATAACACCTTACTTTAAAATTAGGATATTGTCTATATTGTGTACTTGGAAATTGGAATCAATGATGCATACGTTGCCCTTTTCTTGCTAGATAACTCTCTTTCTGGCATGTTACCATCTTAACCTTATAGATTCTTTTAGATTTGGATACAGACTACCTAATGATTAGTACATCTGTGACTCTTTCCACTGTTGAGACATAAGGTTAAAACTTTGCTATGAATGCGCTTAAGTTAGGATCATTGCACTTAAATGATCTCATTGCACTTAAATGATTAGTACATCTGTAACACTTTCCACTGTTGAGACATAAGGTTAAAACTTTCCTATGAATCCTTGAAAGGCGCTTGAGTTACGATCATTGCACTTAAATGATCTCATGAGAAATGCTATTCACAGTGTTTTTACTATTCAATGCTGAAGATATGTTTGTTTTAGCTTGTTGATTACATTCCTTTGACTTCATTTTGCAGGTGTATCGCCTTGTTTGGCTTCTCTTCACAGCCAGACATATGATTTGAGTGGAATCAGAATCTGTAAAGATGAAAGCAACATCTTGGTAACGGAACCGGTATTAGGTTCCAAGAAAGATGCATCTGTCGAGAACATTTCGACTGAAGATGCCGTGGCATCTGCTGAACCCGCTTCTATTGTGGTAGATGATCGGGATGGGCCAAATGAACTTGAAACTGTAAGAGAAGATGGTGAACAACGAAGTGGTGATCCACCCGAATTCAGTGAGGTGAAGCTTTGTGGAATGGAAGAGCCTACAGAGGACCTACCTGCAGCTTTGGACCCTAGTAGGATACCAACCGAGCCTTTACAAGGTGTAGCTGGGAGTGAAATTGGGGGAAGTAGTTCGATTGCTGAAGCAGCACATCCTCTTTCTAGTGTGGAAATTGGCGCATCCGAATCTGTTTCAAATGATATTGGTGATGGTCCATCAAGTGCAATCCAACGAGATTCACTTGATAGGAGTGAAATGGCTGTTCCAATGCAGATGGAGGATGAACAACCTTCTTTATGCGATGAGAAAAGAGAATCGGGGTCTGTTGAGATGGAGGCTCCAGTGCACATGGATGAACCAGTTGTTTCATGTGATGAGAGAAGAGAATTAGAATGTGCCGATGTGGATGCTTCGATGATGCATGGAGTCACTGGAAAGCCAAACGATAATGATGACACGGTGTACGGTGGTGATTTTATTGCTTCAGATGAAACTGGCCACGGTGCAGGGGATGGGGTTTTGCAGGAGAGTAGCAAAGCTGCTGCTGCAGTTGCAATTGATAGAGAGACCAATGGTCAAGTGGAATACACTGATCATGATCTTCTAATGGAATCTGAAACAGATATAAATCGCAGTAGAGTGACTAATGATGGCCGTTTCCTTGATGGCTTATCTGGTGAAGAATCTCTGATCAGCTGTTCCAGTCCTGCACAAAATTTAACTTCTCAAGCTTCACCTTTACCTGAAGTGGAAGATTATGTGCTGCATGAACACAATCATGGAAATGTGGCTGACGCAGACATTTCGAGTTTCAACGTATTTAACCGTGAAGTGAGTAATTGACTTCTTATTTTGAATGGTTTTCTGGTTCAGGATGCATGTTGTGTAGTTTCCAGACTACATCTCTTCCCCTCCCCCTCCTCATGCCCCCTTCTGCAAGGATTGGCTTCTTTAACTTCCTATATCTCCTTTTGAAACAATTGTATATAGTTTCCAAAGTGTCTTGCAGATATTATATGTCTAGTTTGAGTACCCTTTCCTTCTTGCGTTTGAACAGCGTATTTTGAATGGTGTGAGATGCTGTGTAGTTGGTTGTCTGAGAAGGCAAAGCCAATATGTCCCTGGTTTAAAGGTTCGCTTATGTTTGAAGTGAAAGGTTTTAGTAATGTGTATCTTTTTCACGTCTTTAACGGGAGTTGAGCTAGTACAAGAAGCAGCAGTGCTTTTGTCTGATGGATTCTAAATGCCCAGAGTTTTAGATTTAGTTACATTTTCCGTGTCTAACTTAACACAATGGGAGAGAAGCTTTGATTGTGATATTTTTATATTGTTATGGATGTTTCTGGGAATTATTTTTTCTGTTTTCTCACTAGGACTTCTATTTCTTTGTTTTTTGATACAGGAACAAGACTATTCTGCTGCTGCTCATGATACAGGTTCTCTATTTCTTCGTTTTGAATCTGTTACTATTTTGAAAGTGCATTCCTGTATCAGATGGGAAAAGAATGAAAATGATCTTTAATTTTGTACGTACTGATAAACTTCTCGTGGCTAAGGTGTTTGTGTCTGGTTGTCAGAATTTTTGAACGTTGATGATGATGAAGTGGATGAAGTGACTGATGACTACATTCCCGAAGCTGATGAAGTTCGTTTTACTGAGAATACTGGGTGGTCTTCAAGGACAAGGTATCTAGTCAGGCCTTTTCAGGTTTTTTGTTCCAGAATGTCCGCTCTTTGCTCTTCTTATTGAAGTCTCTAGGCACATAGGACTTCTGCAATTTTTTGTTTCTACGGTAGGACTTTCTAAGATGCTGGCTGCATTCATTAAATTTGGTGGATTAACTCTGTTGATAATCTATATCTGGTAAAAATAGCTCTAACTTCTTGATCTGTTTCTGTTTCATTGTCACCAAGTCAGGCTTTGGTCTCTTGGAACCCAGTGATATGATACATTTTATTCTAATTTTTTGAACGATTTAGGCTAGTGATTGTGCCCGGAAGATTATGTATATTTGCAAACCTTTTTGTTGAATGATCATGATACCCAAGATTGTTTCAGATGTGTTTTTTTGGGGTGTATTCAACTTTTCTGTAATGAATTTTTGGCTTTGTTTTCCTGTTATAGAGCTGTTGGCAAGTATCTACAAACACTGTTTGTGAAAGAGGCTGAATATGGTAGGAAGGCCATTCCAATGGACGGTCTTTTGGTTGGAAAATCGCGCAAGGAAGCCTCAAGGATGTTTTTTGAAGCCTTGGTACGACTTTTATCCTTGTTTCTAGTCTGTTTCTTAAAATACTAGATGACCTACCAATCATGATCATCTTCGCTTCCTTTCTGGTTTATTATTTGTTCACATATCATTTTTAATGCTCCAAGCCGTGAACCCGACAGGGTTTGGTCGGCTGCATTCTTGATGACTTAAAATGCTCAAGCCATGTTGTTACGTAGCTCAAAACGAAGTTCGTGCATCCTATTATTTTGTTTGTAATGTCCTGGTTTGGTTTGTAGTGCGGCTTCCTCTCAATCTTTTTTGTCCAAATGATAGTGATATTAGAATCCATAGACAGGACAAATTTATTTCACCAACAACTTCAAATCTTCCTTTTTTTTTTTTTTTGAAAAAGAAGAAAATCTGTCATTGAGCTCAAATCTACTAGACTGGAGTTTGCCTAGATTCATCATTGTGCCTAATTCAAATATTTACCGAGAAATTTGGGCCTATGCTGTATGATGTTTGGTTGGGATTGTTAAATATTGATTACACTCGCGCACACACGCCCGCACACAAACATTTATATTTATGTTGAAAGAGGGGGTTTCTTATCAGGCGGGTATCACCTGTCGTCGTATGTTTCTATCTTTGTTGAAGTTGATCTAATTTAATGTTCAAAATATATGTTTCTGTGTAATTCCTCTACAGTATGCTTTTTCCCTTTGTGAATTATTTGTCATAGTTTTCAATGTTAACTGTTGGATCTACTACGCAGGTCCTGAAGACGAGAGATTACATCCATGTAGAACAACAGTGCCCTTTTGATAACATTATCATAAAGCCAAAGACAAAGCTTGTAAAATCAGACTTTTGACATCATAGTCACGAATAGGAGATGCCTTGTAAGGGGGAGAATTAATGGTATTACCTGTACTCAAGTGGGTAGCATAGGTTTTTATTCTTACATTCATTCTTTTCGATATTCTGAAAGATGTAGGTTTGTTAGTTTGGGCAGTTCGATTAGCTAGAAATGTGTAGTATCTTAATCCTTTAGGATGGACAAAAAAAAAACCGTGTGTAAATAGCTTGTAGAATTTGGTCTCATCTGCATCAAATGCTAGCTATATTTTTATCTTCATCTTAGCTCTACCTGGTTTATGTTCAATTTTTATTTAAAAATGACCTTTGAGGTCACATATTGGCGCTGCTGTGTGTTGGATCCTAGATTCCTAGATGTCTGAATTTGGAAGTTCTATTGTCGTAGCAACTTAATAATACACAGGAAAAAAAGTGCATCCGGCAACTAGTAATGTGGACAACTTCATCATTTTCGTTGGAACTACATTAAGTTGAACAAAATCCAGAAGCAAGCCGGACTGTCTTAATCAAGTGCAAAAGATTTTAAGTTATAGAGAAAGGTGATGCCGGATCAACTCCTCCAAGATACCCTTCAAAGTAAAGAACTCTTGAAAAGGTCATCATTTAAGTGTCATCATCATCGTTGTCAATCGTTAAGAAATGTGTAAATATTCAGCACAAAGCGAGAAATATCACGTAGGACAAAGAAAAAGAGCAAATAGACTAAACAAACTCTATAGAGCCTACAGAAGAGAAATACGACAGCTCTGGTGATTCCATGGAATTGTCTATGGAACAACTAAAGGCGTGAGATTTTTTTTTCCCTATGAGGTTCACGTAGCGTTTACCGTCCAGTGAAGATCATTTGCACAATGAGAATAATGTGATGACCGTTGTAGAGAAAAGCATGGATTGTATAGATATTTTGGCCCATCTGACAATTTTGTTTGGAGGAAATCAAGAGGATTGAAGACATTGATTTTATTGATATCAAAGAAATAACATGGAGGGATGAACAACAATGATACAACACACCAAACTCATCTTCTGAGGTTTGGATTAATGTGATCATCTCCCAACAACAGGAGGAATAAGGATGATGACTCTTTAGTTCTTATTCACTGAATCACATCTCATCTGCTCCTGATTTTCTCTATCATGATAATTTCTTGTAATGGGGGGGCTAAGAACCTATCGTACAAAATCGTAATCAACAATATTCACACAAGAATTCCTCTCATGACCTTCAAGGTTCCAGGATGCTGCACCACTTGATGGATGTTATAGATTACTGGATACTGATGGCCAGGTTGATGACGTAGGTTCCTGTTTCGGCCACCGGGACAGAGCTTCTTTCTTCAGTTCATTTCTCTTGACTTTTCCTGTTGTTGTCATTGGAAATGGAGTTGTCCACAGAATAAAACCCCTGGGAATTTTGAACCTGGAAAGGACAAACACATACACCATATGAGTCCAGTCATGCAATGGAGAAGGAAACAAATGGAGAACACAACAAGTGAAACATAAACAAAGTACCCTGTCAAGTTTTTCTCTTTACAAAATTTCTGAAGGATGTCTTTGGACAGGCAGTGATCTGATCTTTCATTGACAGAGTTGCTTTCAATCCACTTCCAATTGTCTTTCAGTTGAATACACGCCACGACCATCTCCGCCAAGCGAGGGTCTGGAAGGCCTAAAACAATGACTCCAGATATACCGGGATGTTGCGATACAATAGACTCCACCTGTTTCATTTCAACCAAATGATCAAACCAGCAGTTCTACAGGTGAAAGTTCTTTTTTCTTTTTTTTCAAGTGCCTAAACTAATAAACTAGTAACACCTAACAATGCATCATTCCGCTTTTACTGACACATGACTGATCTCACTCATCCATTATGCCGGGAATTGTCCAGCAGCGATTGAAACAAGGAAGACACTGAAATTTTACCTGTTCAGGATAGACATTTTCGCCTCCACTCTTGATTCTACCGCTGTTGCGTCCCATCAGCCAAAGATTACCATTCTCATCAATCTGTCCTACATCACCTGTGTCAAACCAACCTTCCTCCAGATCCTTGCTAGGAATATGACCCCAGTATCCAAGCATTGTATGAGGACCCCTTGTTAGAATCTTCCCAGCTTCAGCAGAACCGTCGTAGCTGATCTTTACCTCAACATGTGGAGCGGGCTTCCCTACGCAGACGCCACCTTCCTCGACTAAGCGCGCATTTCTGCCCTTGATCATCTGAGAATGCTGAGTGTAACTCCCAATGGTCGGGTCATAGAGAGTCATGAATGTCAAAGAAGAGCATGCTTCTGTCATCCCTTTAGAAACAGAAGAAAGCGAATATGACTACATTGATTATGTGTGGGGAGAAAAAACCACTCCTTCCATTTCAATGGCTAAAAATGAAACATGAGCAAAACTTACCATAAGCTGTCATGAGTTTAGCTCTTGGGAAAAGTTTAATACAATTTTCAATTAGCACAGGTGAAAGACCTCCACCTCCATTTAGTATCTTCTTCACCTTCTCAAATTGTTTTGAAGATGTTGTTGTTGACCTGTACAAAGCTTTTCTGTTAACTTAGTAACAAAAGTAAGAGCTAGTTTCATCCACTTCAGAGATGGGGACCTAAAGTTAAGCTTCTCAGGACTTATCAATAGTGCAGTACCTAGTAGAGGCGATTAAATCAGCCATCATAGTTGGCACAGTGATCAAAGCGGTAATGTGGTGATCCTCTATGGCTTTGATTGCCGCTTTAACTTCAAATTTGGGTAGAATAACATGGCAAGCCCCAGCCATCAACATTGCCAAAGCTGATGACAAACCCCCAATGTGGCACAATGGAGCCGTGTGCAAATAAACCTGTGAAATAGGCACACAGTCGAAGTTAATTGACATCTTGGTGCCGCGATAGTAATCAACGTTGTTACTACTTTACATCGTGCGATGAAAAAGTTTTCCCCTCTGAATAATGTGAAGAAAATGTAGTAGTAGGTTAGGAAAGACTAACATCATCTTCGCTGTAGCCGGCAAGTGCTAGTTTCGCGAGGGATTGCACAACCAAAGCCGAATGGCTTATGACAGCAGCCTTAGGCTTTCCAGAGGTTCCTGTATAAGTTGAAAGTGTAGAACACTAAATCCAAATGAACTAGCTTTTAGACCATTGGTCTGCAAGGTAACTAAGAAATTAAGGCAGCTATAAAACCTGAAGTGAAGCAGAGTAGAGCTGCATTCCGAGGTGCCCAGAAAAGAGTAGGAGGATTCAGACAACCCGAATTCGACCATTTCATTCCTGACCCTGTAACAAAAAAACAAGGGCTGCTTGAAGAACATTGCAAGAAAAAAGTAACAGACTACCATCCAAAATATATTATACATGATCATATATGTATGTATATACCATGAAGGTTAGTGTTGAAATCCACAGTATTCATGGAAACATGCCATTTGATCTCAGCTCCCAATTTGGAATGCCAATAATCACAAGTCGTGTCGGTCACCAACAACACCGGCTTCACTTCATTCGCAGCCTGCTTTGCTTCTTCCAAGCTCTGCAAATTAATTAACAACCAAAATGAATATAGATTGTTCAAACTTCAACTTTTACTTCTTACTGTCACAAGCACAAAAAAGGTTTTTTTTTTTTTAAAAAAAATGTAAGTAGAACTAAGTTACTACTAGTAAATACTAACCCATCGATAGTTGAAAGGGGCTGCAATTCCTCCAACACATGTAATGGCCAGTAGCCACTCCAAGTATGAATCACTGATCAGCAGTGTTAAGGGAAAAAAAAATGATTAGTAATTAAAGAGTTTACAAATTGCGCCGAAAATAAAAAGAATTATATAAATAAAAAAAAGAATTCATTTTTTAAAACAAAAATGACATTCACATAAAAAGATATGAATACATTCTCAAGCTGATCGACTTGGACATCATGATGAATTCGTGAGTAAGATTTATTGGATAACACTGATTATTCTCAGTAAAATTTTACGATTATTCTCTGTAAATCTATCATTAATTTTTTTTTTATTCTTTATTATGTGGAAAAGATTGATTGAATCAAAGTGGGGCAATTCCATAAAAGAAAGACGTCGGGATATAATTACTGTTGTTTGACATTAAGTAGAACATAGTAAAAAAAAAAAATAAAAAAAATAAAAATAAAATAGGACATTATTTTCATCGTGTTTGGATTTTTGTTCCATTTTCTTCTGGTAGGCGAAAAGGTAACAATATTTTATTTCAAATTATGGGAAAGAAATTGGAAACTTTTGAAAGATGTTAGGGACCTGACTTGATATTTCATTCTCATTGAAATTTTGGTTTACTTGAAGAATATTTTTATAACTTTCTCCCTGAAATTTGACTTTTCGCACTTTAGCCACAAAAGTCGATACTAATCGGATTTTGGGATGGTCTTATTTGTCTGCCACCTCCATTTCTTACCTTCTGTAGTTACCTCCATCATCTATCTACTCAGTAACTTAAATTGACTTCAATGTCCATTTCGTCTTCTTCGACTTCTTTTCTTTTTCCTTTTTTTTTTCAGTTAATTTCAAGGGATTACAATCTATCAGAGCTTGCTACAATCTTAGCTAATCTATACACAATTTTCGAACTCACAAAAAGCGAAGTTTTTCCTTTTAAGTCTTAAAATATCATCCCCTAAAGCTTGAAGGAATAACTGAAATAGGCTATTACAAGATCCACCGGACGCAGTTCATATACCATAATCCCACCTTTTCCATTCGTACTTCTTCTTTATTTATTTATTTTTTTAACGGTTTTACTGCATTTAAAGTAAGCTTATTTTTAGGTAATTTCTATTCTACTTGTTAAGCACTGTAGATATACCCTTATTTTGGAAGAAAGTAGATTCCCCCAAACTAAATATGTGACCCAAGTAAAATACTTCATTAGAAATGTTTAGGAAAAAAAAAACGTTTATAGAAGAAATTTGGGAAAAAAGTTATGTCGGGGCGAAGTCAGAAAAAAAATGTATAATGTAACAAAAAACTAACCAAAAAAAAAAAAAATGCAAGCTCTTAGAGAATTCTATTTTATTTGATTGATTTAGTTTAACATAATAGATTATTTTTCCGTGACAGTGAAAATGATGTATATAAAGTTAAATTTAAATCTCTTAAAAGTCTCAATTACTTTTTCAAATCTTGAATGAAAATGCCGCAAAAACATCTGCATGCACGCACGTCGTCGAGAAAACGAACTTGAAAGGGTAAGCAGTTTGACAAAATAAAATACTCTTTGTTGGGACAAAGATCTTTGTGTTTATGAATTTAATTACTCTCTATGCTTCAAAAAAATAATAGTTATATCCATTGTACTAATTACAACTGAATTCAATATTTACTCTATCTCAGAAAAAATACTTAACATCGAGTTTTAAGATTCGTACTGAAAATAATATAAATATGAAAATTCAATATAAATTACTTTTTAGAACAGATTTAGTAATAATAAATAAACAGGATAATCATTTTAGGATAAAAGAAACAACATCCATATGCATTAGAATATTTGCATTGAACCATTTTCCCAACTTGCATAGAATTATCAGCAAATTTCAAATAATAGCTCAATTTTTCTTTTAAAAAAAATCAAAAACCAAAGAGAAGCGCACACACACACACAATGACACAAATGCACCAAAGAACACAAAAATAATCAAACTAGAGGCCCAGAATAAAGCTTCACTTTAAGCATCATCTGATCTCGTAGCATATAATCATCCAATCAGACATCTCACCTGGATAGATTTCCAGATTACAACAAGACAAAAAAATCCATCCCTTCAGAAGGCGTGGTTTTCATACGCATAACATTTCTTTTTCGTCATCAATTTAGTGAACCACGCCTTTGTCTTAATCCCGTCATCAAACAAAAATATAAAGGATTGGAAAATCCACAACCATACATTGCGGGTTAGCGAGTATAGCTTTTGTTACCTGTTGAGAGCAGCAATGGCGACGACGTGACCGGGCCTAAGCCCGAGCTGGGTAAGCCCACGGGCCAACCTCACGACTCCCTCCGCAAACTGCATGCCGGTTTTCCGACTCGTCTCGCCGTTGGGGCCCGTTATGTTAATCATCACCGTGGAGTTTCGCCGGTGAGTCATCAGCCGGTTCAGGCATTGGCAAATGTGGGCTTCTGAATAACTACCCATTTTTCTTTAACTTTTTTTGGCGGGGAAGAAGAATATTTGAGAGAAGTTAAAAGACCAAATATTTTGGCTTTGGTGGTGGTATCTCTGAAGAGACAATTTAGTTAACTGCGCTAAGCCGAAACGAAGTTAGCGACGTGATACATATAAATGGTTGAGGGCAGCATGCGCAGGTGGACTTTTAGCATCATATAATAATAATAATAATAATAATAATAATAATAATAATAATAATAATAATAGAGAGGAAAAAAAAGGCTAGTAAATAGTGATGGATTGATATATTGAGTGACTAATATTTGGTGGAGAGAAATGAGTAACTGATCATAATAATTTGTTTAGATCTTTAAGAAAAAGCCCAGTTAGAAATCCAGCCCGAATGATTGAAATTTTGGGAAAGAAAAAATAAAAAAAAAAGTGGGTGGAATAGTTTGTCCGTTAATTGATTGATGACATATTAAATAAATATAGAGAAAAGGAGAAAAAAAAAATGAAGAAGTTAGAATAGGGGGGAAGTTAAGGTCGCTAGACGTACGTAAACTATGGCTTTGTTACATTTTTGACTAATGTAGAAATGTTGAATTAAATATGTTCAAAACAGAGAAAATAGGGGAAATTAGAAAAAAAAAAAAAAACCAAGAAGAAGAAGAAATGTTGAACACAGGCAGGTGCTGTTGAACGGGAACCATAGCATGTGAGCCACCTCTATGTAATACTCCTACGTACATGCTCTCAGTAATCTCCTTTCATTCTAAATAATGTAATGTGTATTCGACCATTACTTTTTTATTTTTTTTTTGCTTGCTTTCTTGAATCTTGATTTTCTTTCTGTTAATGAAAATGGGAAGTCATAAATGCTGAGTTACTGTCCTTAGAGGCAATAAGAAATTCCGAAATTTAGTTACCAAATTACTCAAGCTCAGTTACTGAAACACGTTCGACCCTTTTGCATGCTTGCTCAATTACTAGCTCGCGTGCAGTCGTACTCTAATATTTTTCTGGTGACTATCTATCCCGGCAAATTATTATTATGCTGATCATCCCGGAATAAGGATACTCATATTTGTTAACAACTCTAATTTTAAAATGAAATGAATAAAAGAAAATTATTTTCATTCAAAACGATTATCCTATTTGTTAATTGTATAACTCGAAATGTAATAAGACGGAAAGAATACATCACATTATATATCATTTTAGATTGTGCCATCTATTGATGCATAATTGCTCTAAGCCTCGAGGGTCGATGGGAAACCACAAATACAAGGGAAAAATAAGAAAAGAGAGTTGCAAAAAGAATGCAATTTAAATTTGTAAATCAATTCTAATTTTATGCTCTCTTATTTCAATAATCTATTTTGTCAAACTAAATAAGACAGAATTATCAAAAAGAGATGGAAAGAATATTTTCGTAGACTGAAACTTCTGCCGCCACAAATCCAAAACCATAGGTGTCACAAAGGTGAGAGCGCTGCCACTACTGACTAACCTCATCCACAAAAGAGAAATGAAGAATCTCAGGGAAACATTATAGTCTACGAACACAACTGTTGTTTATATGCAAAATTGTAATGTTCGTTTAGTTATAAGATTTCTGGTGTAACAAAAAAAAAGAACATAAAATGAGTTTGGTTGGATGGTTGGATTTGATTTGATGATACGGCAGAAGTCCAACATACATTTGAGCAACCTAATTGACTACGCCACCAAAAATGTTTCATAGGTGAGAGTAAGACCATGAGAGTAAAAAACTCGTTGATTTCTTGACTAAATTAACCAAACCTATTTCCAGATGGGAGAGTGATTGCGAGAGTACGTTGAGAGTACTCAAGACTGACTAATTTGCAATTCAAAGGACAGAATATTCTAATTCCTTAACATTATAATTCAACAATGGCGTAAAAATGTCCACTTTTCTCATTTTAATACTACTTTCTATTTGACTCTCAAGCAAAATGGTGCCAGTTTAATGCCATTTCGTTCAACCCTATTTTTAGTTCTTGACGACTATCTTATTCTATGCATGGTAGCCTATTAATATGTTAGTCAAAATTTAATCTTTTCCCCCCCTTTTTGATGAACTCAATTGCATTTACAAATTAGAGATGAACTAATATTTATAAACATTAAAGGACATAAACTCTTTTTTTTTTTTTTGCACCTAATTAACTACTAATAATTAGCAACATTCGAGAGTGTCATCGTCGTGGTTGTCGCCTAAATTAATTCCAGTTTTCGTTCAAAAGTAAGCAATTAGGGTTCGTGTTTTCAATTCGTTAGAATCTACTCTTCGAACATCGATCAACCTTGTGTTCTAAATTGTGAAGTATAGATGAGAAAAATGAATGGAGTTATTCCACATAATTAGTACGAAGTTGGCGGCGGATGAGTCGTACGTAAGATATCGCAGTCAAATTTGGTTGCCCCATTTGTTTTTGAGCAAACCATTTCTTGGGGTACTCTCTCAGTGCCTGCATGTAATTGTCCTCCATCTCAAGATACACATGCCTTTCTCTGCCAATTTCCAGATTTCATTTTCAATTCAGCTAATTAATTAATAACACAGCAAGACGAGCATATAAATATTTAAATATATTTTTTCTGTCCCAAAATTATTATGCAATTTGAATTTTCATTTTTAACACAAACTACATTGTAAATGAATTTTCAAATTAAACAATAATTTCAGGACGGATGCAATATACATTTATTCGACCAACAGAGAAGGCGATGACCTCCCAGTTAGTAAAACATGGACAAATTACTGGTCTCAATTTTGCACCAGTAGTTAAATAATGCTCAATTCAACGACATGTTCTATATAGAGAATGATTGCGTGGTTCTTGCTGCTTTTTTCAAATAAAAGGAATAGAAAATTATTATCTCTCTGAAAAAATGTCCACTAACAAGAGTTGAATGAATGGACCCATTTTACCGACTAGATCTTCCTATTTTTCTTTCATTTTGAGACCAATATATAATAGCACTCCGATATGATAATTAACCCTAAAATTGTATCCGAGAAATATGTCAAATTACTACTCTTTTTTAACTTCTTCTTCTCCCTCCTCCCACTCAGATTATAGGAAAGGAAGTAATGGCTTGATTACCGTTGATGATTCTGAGTACATATATACCAGAGCTTCAGTAGAAGATAACCTCTGAAGATAATCACAACAGCTACACTATAATATCATGTATGAAGATAATATACAACATAAGATAAATATTACAACATGATAACTACTATGTTCACACTTCCCCGCAAGCTGAAGGTGGGAAAGACATCAACCGAAGCTTGTCTGAAAACTTCTGAAAAAGATGTTTAGCCAATGGTTTGGTTAAAATATCAGCGAGCTGATCTGCAGCTGAGATAGAACACAAGTGAACAAGGCCCTGATGAACGAGCTGCCGAATGAAGTGAAAATCGACTTCGACATGCCGAGTGCGCGCTCGATAAACCGGATTGGTAGCCAAAAATACTGCTCCGTTGTTGTCACACCAAATGGTTGGCGGCCATTGCAATGGGACTCCAAGTTCAGCAAGCAAGGAACATAACCAATGCAATTCGACGCACACATTCGCAATAGAGCGAAATTCAGTCTCGGTGGATGACCGTGCCACCGTTGGTTGCTTGCGAAAAGTCCAGGAGATCAAGTTCGGACCAAGATATATCAGGAACCCAGTAGTAGACTTGTGATCGTCAGGGCAGCCGGCCCAATCGGCATCCGTAAAAACAGTGATGGTTTTAGATGGGGAAGATTATAGAAACAGTTCCCGATCAGCAGTCCCCGATCAGAAGGTGTAGACTGGTGCGATCTGGAGAAGGTACAGAACGAGGGGATGAAAAAGATGAATTAACACCGAGAGATCGATCGGGAAGGGAAGGAGAGGAAGCAGATGATGAGGAGGAGGGTGAGGGCTGAAGTCGAGATAACGATTTCGAAAGAGGGGGGTAGTAGTAGAGTTGGACACAGAGTTGGAGTTGGAGGGAAGTGGAGATGGAGTTGGATTCGGTTACTAGGAACTAGTTGAGGGTGGATGGTAAATAGAGATTTGAAGTGGAAGAGGGGAAGGCGATGCTAGAGTAGTGGGCAGTGGAGAGGACAAAAAAGATGTTGTGACGGCAAACGGAAAAATGCTTTCATCAAATTGAACATGTCAGGCAACGTAGATTCGATTGGAGGAAATATCAAGACATCTATAACCAAGATGAAGTTGAGAATAACCCAAGAAAACACACTATTTGGATCGATATGTAAATTTATGTTTAATGGCCGGAGATAGGGATAGACGGCACACCCGAATACTTTTAAAAAAAGGAAGTCAGGCTGTTGTTGATATGAAACAGGAAAAGGGATTTGAGTGTTTAGAGAGGATGAGGGCATACGATTGATGAGGAAAATCGTTGTCTCAAAAGCGAATTCCCAAAATTTGAAGGGAGAACTGGAATGGCCGAGAAGAGCTAAGCCAATGTCTACAATTTGACGGATTTTTCATTCGGCTGTACCATTTTGCTCGTGGGTGTGGGGACAAGAAAGTCAATGAGCTATGCCTTGAGTTTTAAAGAAGGTGTTCAGGGAGCGAAATTTGCCACCCCAATCAGAAATGATAGATTTAATGGTAGTGTTAAATTGATTTTTCACTAATTTTTGAAACTGTTGAAAAACAGAAAACACATCGCGTTTGAGTTTGATTGAGAAGATCCAGGTGAAGAGAGAAAAATCGTCGATAAAGATTACAAAAGAACGATAACCATGAAATGTTAGAAGGGGAACAGGACCCCAGACATCAGAATAAATTAAATCAAGCGGTTTTTGACTACGATGCAACGTCAATCTTAAGCTACTACGTTGCATTTTACCAAGACAACAAGCATGACACTTTTCAGAAGACATTTTGAAAGAACTCAAGAAAGGCAAAATTTATTGACTAATTGCTGAACAATGGCATAACTAGGGTGGTCAAGGCGAGCATGCCACTTGTCAACATTGGCCAGAAAT